TTTTTTAAAGTAAATATAAATTTTTAAATAAATAATTTATTATGTATAATATTTTATCATAAACAAAAACATTTGAATCTTCTTCTTTTATTCTTCTTTTTCAACTATTTATATATATATATATATATATATATATATATATATATCATTTCCTTTACTTAGATTCTTTTTTCTTTCCCTTTCCTTATCATTCAAATCATTTTTCTATGATCACATGTCTTTTTTTTGTTTTACAATTTTTTTTATTCCTCTTTAGAAAATTTAATTTACATTAGTCTATATTGACTAATAATATATTTTTGAAATCCCTTTGAAAGATTCAATTATAAGAGCTAAAATGAATATTGATATACTAAAATGAAAATTTGATATATAAAAATATCGGTTAAGATTTATTTATTAAATTGTAAGCATTTTAAATTTGTGTTAATTAAACGAATATTAATAATAATCTTGTGATAAAAAAAAGTTTTTTTGAATTAAAAAATATTGAATTGACTTTCTAAAGGAAATCTTTTCACAAATATATTAATCCTATCTATTATATCATTCATTTCTACGAATTTTCATATTTATTTTTTTAAATAATTAAACATATTGCAAAGAATCGATTTTTTGAATCTATAAAATTTATAAATGTTTGGCCTTTTAAAATGTTTAATAACCTAAATAATAAATGAAAATAGATTGCGGTGAAGTTAGAAGAATAAATACTATTTATTTTACTTCTGATAAGATATTTTATACATATATTGTAAATATTTCTGATCCTCTATGGAACAATATATATCTCAACATATGTATATTATTTTTTATTTGATTTATATATATTTCTAAGTGTTAGTATTCTTTTCTATTCTAATTATTATATATTTTTCTAATTCTATCTATTTTTTAAAAAAAGGATCCAAAATTGAAATCAAAAATTTCAAAAAGATTAAATGATTATTTCAATATAATATTATCTTGATAAGTTAAAATTTAGAAAATATAAACAATATATTACTGTCTTTATATAATTTCTTATATTTCTTTCTACGTTAAATTAATTTCTATTTAAATCTGTAATTATTTTGAAAATGCTATAAATAATGTAAGAATTGACAAGACTTTTGCATTTAATATTTTTTATTCTTTCTTCTTATATCTTCTATTCTATATCTATATATATATATTCTATCTATTCTTTTCACACTCTATTTATTCATTTTCATTTTGCTTTTTCCTTATAATATTTTTATATTTCTTTCGTATTGTTTTTTTTTTTAATTTTTCCATTTTTATACTCCGGATACTTATTTCTTTGTTCTCGTCTGCATTCCCAGATTTTTCCAAACATAAAACATAAAAAGTTCAATTTTTTTTTACAAAATAAAAAAATAAAAATAAATAATCTTGATAAATAATAAATCATTTAATCAAGAGAAAAGTTTCACAAGAGTCATTATAACATAAATAAATCCCCATACGGATGATTTGTTGATGCGACTTTTTATTGTATCATTAAGGAAATATAATAGCTAGTGTATATTATATTTAATAATATGTCTAAGTAGCGCTGTATTCTAATGTTGACTCAATATAATATTAGAAGTTATGATTTATATTCATGCTTATAATTATCATCATGATACTGCATGTACTACAAATTGTGATATATGTCCTCCTTCTGTAGCTACATTACATTAGCTACTTACCAAAAGCCGATAATTTGGATCGTTATGATAATAATAAATGATTTTAACATTTTATGTCATTCATATTTTTTATTATAATTATATACTTTTCAGCATAACACAGTATTTTTTTTTTTTTTTGTTACTTTATATAGTGAACGAAAATGTTTTGACATTAGTATAACTTCATATTTTAAATTTATAACAATGATATGTATTTTATTTTTATTTTACTATAGAAATATAATATAATTGTTTAAATTAAAAAATTATAATTATTAAATATTGTTTTTCTAAATTAATTGCAAGCAATGAATCGCTTTTAAATAGAAAGATATATGTTCAAAATATAAAAATTGTTAGATGCATTTAAATACATATTAGATGCAATTTAAATACATATTCATTCTCCGTTCGGATTCAAATTAATCATTTAATAAATCATTAAATAACTAAATAATTGACATTCGGATTAATTAATATATAATTAATTAAATAATTAATTAATCTTACATTCTCATTCTTCAACATGAGTAGTTAATACTTTTTTTTATAGAAAATATCAAAATTGATCGATCAATGCATTCAAAATTATATAGTTTTATTTTAAAAAATGAAGTTGACTTTAACTCGACGAACAAAAAAATAATTTGTGCTATATATGATCATCAAACAATTTTTGATAAAACATTTTTTTGATAATTTTAATCCTTTATAAAATATTTTATTGTTTTCATTTAAAAAAAATAATTTATATAAATAAAAAAAATAAAAATTTTCTTAACTTAAAAAATGAGACTTCAATTTTTTAAATTTTATTTATAAGACATTTAAATCGAAAAAGAATCGTAACAAATTGTATTAAAGTAAGATGAATTTCAGATATCCGCTTTGATATAATGATAATTTGATATAATGAAATGAAATAAAGAAAGGATAAGCAATTATAATCTGGTAATATAGCAGAGATTATTTTTCAATGGTTCTATATTACCAATATCCATTAACTCTCGTATAATTTGCTCGAAAATACATATAAATTTGTGTTTGAATTCGATGAATTTTAATAGATCAAAGAGAATAACATATTTATGTGTCTTCAGTTTAAATCGAATTATATAATCAATTCTGTCTTATATACTATTCAATAAATATGAATATATGTATATAAAATCATTGAAATCTTTAATATATTATGATATAACAATTCTGATAACATGCAAAAATTTTTAATTTTTTTAATTTTTTTATTTAGATTTATAAAAAATTAAATTTAAAAAAAAATAGTCTTATATATTAATATAAATTTTATTATTAATCTAAATAATAAAGTACAATGTATGTAATTATGTATAAATTATTATATTTATATTTTTTATAGTATATCATTTCGTAAATAAATAAATTGTATGTTTTTTATACTATATTTTATTTTACCATACTGATAACAAATAATAAAAAAAAATAATTTTTTTTAATTTATTATTAATTTTAAAATTATTAAATATTATCTATTAATTATAATTATGAATTAATGATTAAATATTATCTATATTATTATTTTATATAAGTATATTTAATAAAAAAGATTGCAAAATTTTACAACTTACAAAATTATTTAAAAAAAATTATATATTTATCATAATGAACAAAAAAATTAAGTAAAATTGAACAAGCAAATTTAAAAAGACTCACTGATTAATAAATATTTAGTCAAATAAAAATTGCATTAGTTAACTCCTTTCTTTTAATAAATTATAGATATTATATGATATTAATTTATCAATTCCTCCTTTTATCTCTCAAAACATATGGATTTTTCACCTAGTATAAAACTCCAACTTATGATTTTCAGTGAGATATTTAGATTTATTACAAAAGATATTGGATCTATAACTATCATTTTTATTCTTTCTTTCTTTTAATACAATATAATATACAATTTTTTTCACTACAATATTTTTTGAAAATCAATAACGTAACTGAGTTTTTAACCGAATAAACATTGACATTGTATTATTGTGACATTATGTATATATTATATGCATATATGGAAATAGAGATTTTAATTTTGATAAAATTTTTGAACCACAGAATAAATACTTGAAAAATACAATGTGTTTGAGTAATGCTTCTTTTCGTTATATGTAAGACAAATGAAGTGGCCAAACTAATACATATCTTTTGCAATATCAACAATAAATCGTTATGAAACGTGCCTTAATTTATATATTAGTTATATATAATAGCCGATCGTGAAATTCTGCATTCCTGCAATATCCTTTTATGATAGATTTCTTTGTATCGAAGATTAAGAATATACATTTTGAAAAACGAACGACAATATTTTACTTCAAAGCATTTTTCATAAATAATATATTTAGAGAAGATAAAATAAAAAAATATCATTTGCAGAATTTATAGAGGTTCGAAATATTTCCTAACTTAAGAGATGTTTTACAATAGTGAAACATGAAAATAATTAAAAAATATATATATAATATTTTTAATATTATTAATATAAAACTATAATAAAAATAAAGTTAAAATAATATCAGAAAAATAAAAGATCGTTTTCATTTTTTTAATAAGAGGAATTATTGAAAACGTTAAGATAAATACTTTAAAAAATAATTTCATTGAGTTAGTTTTATAAATACTTAACTTTTTATAAAATCATATTCTATAATAGTGGAATTGTAATAATTTGCAAAAATTATGAGTGAATTTAAAAATAGAAAAATCTATTATTTCTTCCATATAATAAAATACATCGCTATATTCATGAAACTTTAAAAATTAATAACGTATTTAATCTAAAAATATATTTAATCTCTTAAAAGATTAGAGAAAGTTAAAGATTAGAGAATCTCTTAATTAAAGAAATCTCTATTTTCTTGAAATTAGCTTATTTCAAAAAAACAATACAAAACATTTGAAATGACATTTGTATTTTTTGTTCTTATTTTTTATTAGAAATTATAAATCATAAATACAATAAATTAAAAATCACTATTATAAAACTTTATAAATATATTTATAAATATTGTTTATAAATAAACTACTATAAAAAATAAGAATTTCTTTTTATTAATTTTTTAATTATTTAAAATTATATTTCAAATAGAAATTTATTGAATACATATTTTTTATAGAATTTATTTAGTTAAAAATATATCTAATTAATAAACATCTAGTTAATAGAATTTTATAGAAATTCTTATAAAATTATTTATTTTCATTTTTTTATTATCATCTATATTAGTAATGAGTTTATAAAATCATGAAAATTTATTGATAATATCCATTAATTTTTGATTATAGCTGGGTTTCTTTACATATTATACAGTGGCGATGGGAGAGGTAAATCCTTCAGGACCGGTACCAATCGACAGCGTTTTCATTTACAGACCGGACAAACGTCTCGAGCTCTGGAGGTTTGCGTTTTATATGTTTCTTCATGCTGGGTAAGTGACATTAAAATCTTGAAAAATAAAATAATTTATATAAAAAAAAACATGAAAACTTATAATACAATTATTGTAGAGGTATTATTTCAGATATTTTTACAATAATTATCATTTTTATTAAATATTATTTTATTTTCGTTAAATATTATTATTATTTAATAATATTAAATAATATTAAACAAGTATTATTATAAAGATATTATTTCAAATATTTTTTAATAATTATCATTATATATATATGATTTTTTTAATGGAAAAATAATTAATTTTTTATTTGAAAATATTATTTGAAAAAAAATATATTTGATTGAGAACGAAAAAATAACTATTCCATTTATACAAAATAAAAATTTTAATTTCTCGTTCTAATAATTTCAATTTTTATTCATAAATATTTTTTTTTATCTAAATAATTGCTTATTTTTTTTATTATTACAAAATTTTCATTATTTGTTTATATTTATAATATATATTATACTAAAATTTATAATATTTATTTTTTTAGCAAAATGAATTCAAATATTAAGATATATATATATATTGAAAGATATATTATCATTTGTCAATTTTAACCATATTGGTGTTAAATAAGTCGATTAAAATGTAGTATATTAGTAAAGTTTGTTTGATGAATAGCAAAATAAAATGATAAAATTATTGGCATCGTAATATAGGATCAAGTTTCATTAGTATCAATTTCATTGCAACACTATTGTTTTTAAATATTAGGTGGATATTTGTTACGTTTGACTGCGAAATGAAATTTCTATGATTTCTATTATTGGAAAATGCGGAAATTGAAATTCATGTAATATTTGTCAAAAATATCATGAAAAATTCATATTTCAAGAGAATCGTTTAAATCTTTTTTCTTTGGCATATGAAACTTTTGTGCTGAATAAATTCATTGTTTATTTGCAAAATGCGGTATTCAAGTAATTTCATTCATGGGAAGATTTAATATTTCATTATTTTCATAAAATGAATTTATGATATAATCTTTTTAATTTTTATAATAAAGTCTTAATAGTATATCTTTAAGATATATTAAATAAAATTAAATATTACATTAAAATTTGTGACGTAAAAATTTATTAGAAAATATAAATATTTCGTATCATTTTAATAAGATGTAATAAAAAAAATCATTTTTTTTTAATGAAATGTTTAAAATCACGTTTATATTGTTTTTATTATAATTAATCAATTTTATTGGAATTTTCATACAAAATATTAATTTATTTATATTCCTTGAATTTTTATATTCTCTCTGACAATTAATAAAAAATAAAAAATCAGAATTCATTTTATTTATATTTGTTTTCAAATGGTAAATTTTATTTAAAAGGTATTAATTTAATCTGTAAAATAAAATTGATCGTATAAAATAAAATTTATAAAATATTTACAAGAATAAGAGACTAATTTTGTATAATCTCATATAATATAATGCATAATATGATTAAAGAAAATTTATCATATCCTTTTTTGATTTTGAATAACTGATATTTCTGCTTGAATACCAATACTTACAATAATATATAAATATATTTATCAGTAAATAATATAAGTAATATTGAAAATCAAAAAATGAAGAATTATTGTTTAATTTCTGTATTTAATGTCCAATAATTAAGAGAATATATAATTATATATATAATTATATAATTATATAATTATAATCTCAAAAATTATATATATAAAACAATATATAATTATATGTAGTTTTATATATATATAACTTTTACTAATAATTAATAATATAAATTTTAAAATATCTGATACATTGAAGTAGATATTTGAATACTGTATAACACAACTAGTACATTATTAATCTCAAATAGATTAACAACATTAATCAAACATAAAATAACTTGATAAGTCCAAGTTTAATATTGCTCTTTTCTAAAAATTAAAAAATATTATTTATGAAGTATTAAATTACGAATATTCACGCAAAATCACGAATCAGTTTTTATTACTCTAATTATATTACTCTCAATTAAAGTTTTCAGTCAAATATAATAAAAAATTAAAAATATGAAAATGTCAATTTTGAAGTATAAATATAAAATTTTATAATAAATATAAACCATGAAAATATTAAATATAAAGTAAATATGAAAAAAAGTAATTTTTTCCTCATTTTGAAATAAAACAATGAAAAAATAAAATAATATGGAAAATACTATTTAACTGGCTGAAGTCGAAAAAAATAATCATTATTATAAATTTACAAGAAATTATTATTTTTTCAAATATTTTCTATTATTTAATATTTTAAGATACTTTTATGTACAATTATTCTTAAATATTTTGGTATTGAAGTTATTAATGATATGTTTAATTAACATTTTATTTTCTCATTATTTTCTTTATAAAAAACTTAAATTATTTTTTTTGTTGCATTTATTTTATATCAATTCATTTAATATTTTCATGTATTTAATATTCTTATTAATATTTTAATTATTAATATTTTATATTCTTATAATAGCATTTTATATCTCAAAAATTATTATTATTTTTAATAAATTTTATATAAATGTATTATATTATTGCGTATAATTAAAAATTTTCTTATAGAAATAGAAATAAAAATGAAATGAAAATAAAAATTATCTATTAAATATTAAATATATTTAATATTTTATTTTATTTTATTAGATATTATTTTATTGTTTTTGCATATTATGTTTTCTATATATTTTTACACTTTTAAGTTTCTCATATAGATCTTTCAATATATAAACATTTATAGATTATTTATCATATTTTTTCTGCTAAATTTTCATTCATATTTCAGGCAGTAATTAAGAGACAAAATTTTTTTTTTATATCAGTTTTAAATAATATAATGTAAATTTTCTATATTATAATTATAATAATCATAATAGTTCGTAACAATATCAGAAAATTCATAAAAAAAAATAGTATGTTTGAAATTTAGATGATGTTCACAAGATGATGAATAAATGTAACAAATTAAACATTTTGTTGACTACTTTTTCAATTGATCCCTCTTCATCATGAATACGCCTAATATAATTCTTTGATGTTAATTTTTAGTGATAATTTTTATCACCTTACATTGACGACTAATCACGTTACAATCTCTCATCGGCTGACATGAATCAAATTCAACCATCGTTTTTTAAAAAATTACAAGAAAAAATTTCAGTTATATCGGTTCAATTTCATCTGTACTCTTCTATGCTTCTTCGCTCAACTTATGCAATGTTATATCAGTGGGAACATCAATGACTAATGAAATTTATTCGATTATATTATTATCGATTATATTATGATTTTTATAATAGAGTTTCGCAAACACGCATGAATGTATTGGACGTTATAAATAATAAAAAAAACGCGAAATAGAAAATTATATTTTAATTTGATTATATTTAAAATTTTTATAAAATTCTTGCAGTAATGTTATTCTGTTTATCTTTAAATTAGAACGTAAACATTCTTCTAGAATTTTTTTATGAAGGAAGATTTTATGATATTTTAACGATAATTTATAATAAAGGAACTATGATCGATGATAAATTAAATTGCAATAAACGTATATTTTTCATCGAAATTAATATTTAATGTAATCAATTGTATTTTTATTAAATTATCGATTATTATATTATTGAATTATTGTATGTATATTTTTTGAATTGTGATTTATTGATTCTAGTTCTAATATTTATTAATTATATCAGTAAATTAAATTCAATAATTTTTATAATTATATACATAAAATTATTTTTTTAACATGTTTCTATAGTTATATATTAAATTGATATTAAATTGATATGGAAAAGAAAAAAAAATATTATTATTTTTATTATCCAATATATTTTATTATTTTTGATAAAATATACTGTAATATTTTTACTAAATTATGAAAATAATATTTTTCAAATGAAATTCATTATAATTTCTTATATTACATGAAAATATATTTTTTTGTTGAAAATAAAAGAATTATTCTGCTAAAAGTATTCTATCATTTATTCATTTTTTATCAAATTTATAAATAACAATAAATTATTCTACAAATCTAACTCAATTATGATCTTGATTAATATTATATAAATTTCTTAACATTCTTTCTTTAACATTCAACTTTTAAAAACCTGAATTTTAAAGGCTAACATCATATTAGCTTCAATCTTCTAACAAAGTTTAAATCTACGAAGTTTAGGAAGTTAGTTAAGGTAGAGCAAGATTCAGTTTTTGAGACTCTTGACGTTAGAATAAATAAATTAAGTTCTATAATATTTTAATAATCTAAACTTATCTAATCTTTTAGATTAAGCTTTGAAAATTTAAAGAGATTACAACAGCTGATTACGATATTACAAATCTTACCAATGAAGGACACATTCCAAAGTAATAAATTGTATCTATGATATCAATATGATTAAAAAATATTAAAATATATCAAAATATATAAAAAGATATATTATTATGATATATTAATTATGAAGATCAATATTGAAAATTTTATAATATATTTTTACTTACTTATATATTTTCAAATATTTTTCAATATTAAAACAATTTGAACATAAAAAAAATGTTCATACAAAAAAATTACTATGAAATATTTAATTTGTGGAGAAGAGATATTAAAAATTTGAGATTCCTCTTACAAAAAAATTAATATTTATGAAAATTTAAAATATATGAATAAAAATAAAAATAAAAATGTTTATATAATATTATAATAATATTTCATTTTTGCTTCATTTTTAAGTAACTTTCTTTTTTAAACATAACCAGTGATCGATTTTAATTTTCGAGTTATTCGCAAAAAACTTTTGATATTAGACCATTGAATTTTTCTTGTGTGTGTATTTTCCTAATATTATATGCGTTAGTAAGACTATCATTTAAAGCTAGCTGGTTATACTCACATATAACAGAAATATTTTTTTTATCAATTTTGAGATTTTTAATTTAATTTAACTCAAGTACATTTCATATAGTGTTCATTA